AAGTCATTTGATATCAAAATGTGGATTATCTTTATAAAAATTTCATCTAGACATAATTCATAAAACAAATCAGCAAAAATGTTTTTAAAAAACTAGAGAGTTTGGATTTTTTAAAATATTTTTAACTGACACACGTATAGATTTTTTTTAATTTTATTTTTATTTATTAAAATTAGGTGATTATAAAATTAATTTCAATATGTACTTGATGGTGATAACTATGATTTTTATCTATAGAATATGTACATGCTAAAGAAGATGTTAAGTATGGAAAAATCGTCTTGATTTATACAATACAATTTTTTCATAAGTATGTGATAATTAAAATTCAGATTTATGCATAAAATATTGATAATTTATTTCAATTATGATAACATGACCTCATTGATTTATGATAAATTTTCTTCAATTGTTCACGTAGTCATTATTATACTTTTTGAAAATTTTCTTATAGCTTAGTAATTAAAGATATGTAAATTCCATATTTGTGACAATAAAATCACTTTGGTTTCATCCTGTTTTCAAAATGTCTAAATATTCATTGGAGTTAATCTGTTTATAACCATTGAGATAAGCTTTATTTTGTTTTGTTTTAGAGCTAGTCATGTGTCTTGATTTTTTTCAACATTATTTATTTATTTATAAAGAATAAGTAGAATCAACTAGTTTGTTATGTGTAGTTTACTTTTCAATACACAAACATCGTTGTAGATGTGTTAAAAAACAAACTAATTCAACAGAATAATTGAAAGATATAAAATAAGTCTTCAAAAAGAAAATGGATTTAAAATATAATGTGTATTAAAATAAAATTTCTAAAATTATATTCATACACACATACACACATGTTTTTATTATTATTATTATTATTATTATTTTTCATTGCATATTATGTGCTGCATTAGAAATTTAGATGGAACCTATGAACAATCTACATTTAAATAGTAAACCTAAAACTCATTCTTTTATCTTACTATATTTATTTTAGGTATAACTATGAATTTCATGATATGTGCACCCTCAACAATGGATATCAATAAACATGGATAATTATGTTGAAAGATTTTATATTGCATAATTTAAATTAAATAAATAAATAAATCAGTTTGTGATACTTGTTGCATAATTTCACACGTTGAGTAAGTTTTTTAACCAAATTTTTATTAAAAATATTAAAATATGATTTATAAAATTCGAAAAACATTCTTTAATGCAATATCTGATGGAATTTGATTGACTTTCTTTCTTTTTTTTATTTTTCTTTTCTATTCTTTTCTTTCAAAAATATATGGAAGTGATTAATATTCATTACATGACATTATGCACAAAACATCCTCACACACACATAAAAATGCCTATTCAAAAAGTGTTTATATAATAGCAGTCCAATGTACTTGTGAAATCAACCACCAGACCTAAAACCTTTGTAATATCCTATGATCATCAAAGGAATCATGTCATAAAATAAAGTAATGGAACAAAGAATTGGAATAAAGTAAGAGACAAAACCAAGAAACAACTACTTATGACTCATATTCTCCAATACTTTTATTTTACAATACATACATACATACACTTTAAAGTTTTCAATTTAGATTCATCAGCTGTTGAGGTGAAAATTGATATTGGTTTGCATGGTGGTGTAATGCGGTGCAAACAGTGATCAATTTACAATGCAAAGCCACCAACAGGATGTAGATCATTCTACAGGAACCCACAAAGGCTCCAAACCCACTCACTCACTCACTCAGCTGGAATTGGGGTCAATGGTAGCACATGATCCCACATCCAAGTGACCACATCATTGTGAGCCCTCCTCCTCACTCTCCAAGTCCCCTTTACTTCAAAAATAATTATAACAATAGTTATAACAGCAACAACAACAATTGCTGTTATTATTATTGTTATAATAAGCCATATATATATATATATATATATATGCTTCAAGTTTTGAGGGGAATGCATGCTACAGGCCAAACCCCATTTGATCAGCATAGAGCATGAATAATGCCAATCATGGTGATTCTTTGATCCTTTGTGCATGAAGATCCTCTAACCTAATTGCAATCATAGATTTGAATCACACCATCAATATGTGGTGTTGAACTAACAGATATATATATATACATATATATATACAAAAACATATGTATTTGATACTTAAGCATCTAGGAGTTTGTCTTTTTGGGTCAAAACACTTGTGCTTTTGGTAATCTAATGGCAGCTTCAATTGCTACATGCCATCACCCAACCTACAAGCTTTTTATTTATTTATTTATTTATTCACTATTTTCTCAGGGGAGTTAGGCATCAATCATCTTTTATATGCTTCACATGACGATCTTGCCAAACTGTATAGAAAATTTCATCAATTTTGAGGTGGGAGTAGTTTCTATATTTAAAGGATCTTTGTAAAGATTATGGAAACTAAATGTAATAACTAGGTGCTGTAATTTGTAAAGACCCATGTACTTCATCAAAAACTTTAAGAGAGTTTAAAACTGCTACATTGTCAGCAACAATCTTCACATGTGGGCATTGTTCAAAATTAATAATTCACTTTTTGAAAACAATGTCTCTATGTGGTTATAACATTGAAGTTTTATCTTTGTGATGTTATTGCTTACATTTCACTGTTACATTCTTCCAAGAGTTGCACAAAACAAAGCTTTTACCACTCTGGTCTGGACCTCCACAGGATCAGCACAATCAAAAAGCTCTGTGTATTAAAAATTTGTACATTTTACCACCCTGTGCAGTCCTTTTTTAATGTTGTACAACCACAGCTCAAAAAATAAAAATAAAAGTGTATATAAAAATACAGAAATAAAAGGAAGACAGAAGAAAAATAGAAAATGTTCATTGGCCTACCATTGCTACAGAGCACATGCTCACCTCCATCTGTACAGAGCACTATTCTACATCAAAAATTCCAATTTCTTCCATAAAATTTAGTAGAAAAGAGATGTGGAATCAAGTATTCAATACAATGATTTTTTATTTTTTTATTTTTTTATTTTTTATATTTTGACAACGAGGATATTGGATGGTCTTCAACATATATACAACTTCTTTATTTTTATTTTTATTTTTTTGAGGCCTTCAAGTTCTACAAAAAAAATCTCAAACCAGCTGTAATCAAAGCTTTTACTGGTACAAATATAGCTTTTATGCACTGTTGAAGTTCACTTTTTACATTCCAGAAGTGATGGATTTGAAATGTAAGTCCACCTTTGACGGCAGAAGACCCCTAGTGAATTCTTACTAGCAAACAAAGCCAAAACAACAAGGTTGACAACCACAAGTTCAACGAGTAAAAAACTATGCATTCAAATTCATAGGAATCTTGAACCTAGAACCTTGAAGTGATTTTCATGCATCTTCATAACTTGATTTGGGCATACAACCATCTGACTCCAGGAACTTGAATGTCAGCACATAGCCACTGGCAGTCCAGTCGGCAGGCTGGGACAACTCCACACTGCAATCTAAACAGATAAAAACCCAAAGGGCATATTTTCATCGATTGATGGCTTTACAGACATTTGGAAATAACTTCAGCAACCTGGGTGCTGTTCAGCACGATGAAAAAGAGAAAAACTTGGAAAAAATAGATATACTACGAGGTAAAATTAGTCATGACGATTTTAGGTAGGCATGAAATAGGTTATAGATAGGACCTCTGCTGCAGTTTCTTGGAGTCGTCCTGAAAATCTTGATGTTTTGATTATGAAAAAAAATTAAAAAAATTAAAAAACAGGTGTAAGAACGAAACTAAGTCCATCCAAACATGTCAGCTGACCGAGCCCAACCCAGACACCCTTAACGACTGAACTAAGATCGGAAACAGTAAGTCGGACTCTCCATAAAAATCAAGTACAAAATACCTGGAATCTCTGGAAACTTCGTAGGGTGCTAAGATACATTCACAGGTAGAACATAGATTTGCTGAGACACTACAAGACGAATCACTACTTAGAACCCATAGGCATGTCTAGACTCACTTGGATGATACTATTAAATTTAGGTAGGCATTTACGAGTACTTTTTCAAGTCGACACATGAACACTTCTATGAATGTAAAGCTTACGGTTTCACTGAGATAAGTAGAGAACTGTGGCAAATATATCTTTACAATCTGCGCGTTCTGTTCTCATATTCAATTAACTTGATTTCGTTTCAGCTAGAAATGGTTGTTGGGTTTTCCATTGTAACCAGCCTCTTTTACGCCAACTAAGACACTAGCTCAAGCATACCTTAGTAAAAGTATCATTTGTACAAAGGTACTCCGTAGACCTGCGATAAAGCCTTGTTCTCTAATTCAATTATCGTTGGACTCGAATACTGGGTTTGGAAAGCTTAGAATTAAATAAAATCTAGCGGCTGACAAAGGGTTGAAGAGGACGCTTTTACTTCAAGTAAACTGCAGCCTATGTCAACAAATACTTGATCCTGGGTGCGCAGCATGCGCCACATCAAACTAATTAGGTACAAGAAGTGAATCAATGATTTTGAAGGATCACCGAATCAAGAGAGCTAAATGAAAATTAGAATACTGGACATGGGTACTAAAATATTACATAGGATTATCTGTCACGAATGGAGATGCTAACATTCACAAAATCTCTAGGTCATGACAGCGGGTGTTACAACAATAAAATTACACGAAAAATGCATAGAAGATGACGAGGTCGGAAAAGGTCGTTAAAAAAATAGTCCCATAGGTAAGAAATAGTTGTGAAATGAAATCATAAAAAACGATAAAAGTGGAAAACCATAGACAGATAAGGAATAGAGTTAAGACCTGACATGACACAAAGAAGCGTCACGAGGTTTAGCCCATAGCACCCACTGGAGTGTGTATGAAGGCATTTCTCTGCCAAAACAAGAAGCAACGTCAGCGATTACATGAAATGGAGGCACTGACAGTCTCCTTGTAGTTTGAAGGACGGTCCGAGAAAAGAACTCGACGGACCAACATTCGCAAAGTGCGAAATGAATGACAGTCAAGACAGTTTAAGCCCATCCAAAAACTCGAGTAGAAGTTTGGTCACTCCAATGACTCGTTCATACATTACAGAATACCGATGATATAATCAGGGTAACCAAACATTACACCGAAAGGTTCTAGTGCTTTTCACTACTAACGACCCAAGCTCTTGCAGTCTTTGCACGAACCCACACTCCCAGATTTCAGGTTCTGCAAGAGGCAAGCTCAAACATGACCTGTTAGAATTGCAATCTCGAATAACTTCTGAAGTGTGCAAATTAAGTACGCAGATTCTTCGGCATTCATACAAGTTGTTTCCATCTTTGATCTTGTTCTACTATTGACCGAAAAGATTTTTTGAGGAAATTCGTGATAATTGTAATAGTTTCCCCAAGGCTTCATTCCTAGTCCTACAAGATAGTAAGATCTGGAGCATTGGAACAGATCCCCACAGACATCGGAGTTGATGGCTGAACTAAGAGAATGTTAAGTTCAAAGAATGGTAACTTCGTTCCATATCCTAAAGATTGAACGAACGCAATACCTCACCTACGAACAAAATCAGGAGTGGGGATTCTACAACTACCATCCATGAGCTTTGCCGATGTGGTTGAATCCAATTGAATGCTTTTACAACTCTCCATCATGCATCCACGCTTTTGAGAAAATTTCTGTGCACTGAAGTTATGTGCAAATTGTTGCACAGGTCTCTGACAATGTAAGCGAATTGTTCCCGCAAAATCCCGCTAATAAGGAAGGCCTCAGGTACAGGCTTCGTAAAACAACACATTGACCAAGATACCACGGATAGCGACTCATCAACAACTGCAGCATGAAGGTGCTCTCTGCCGACTCTGAATTTGAGATCGAGAAACATGTGTGATGCTGGAAGATATATCCACACTTGCACCCTCATCAATTGTGCGCTGCCAAAGATGTGCCGGAGAACCCTTCACATCAGAATCATGACAAACTTTAGCTGCAGTTGGTTATCGCATCTAAACGCGTAGAGCAAAAGAGTACAACGACAATGCAAATTCTTAAGTGTTGAAGAAGCGAATAAACTCAGTTAACAATAATATGATTCTGCAACAATATCAACAGATTATATCCCGCAACTATTGATCTGTTTACCTGTTTTTTGAAATCTCTAAGAAGTGAAGACATGAATATTTTGACTCAGCTTAAGCCTCGATGAAATTACTGACATGCAAAAGTTACTACGAACAAGGTTTACTTCCAGTATATTCAACAGCTAAATTCGAAAAGTGACGAGAAAAAATAGAGGAAAAAAATAGAAAAAACAGAAAAAGAAAAGAAAAGAAAAGAAGGTCAATAAACCTGACGAACAGAAATGCAGCGTAAGCTTCTAACACGATAACATTAAGCACTCAGATTTCACAAATCTCACCTCAAAAAATCACACATCACATTGGAGATGATCCCCTTGAATCCTTCCACATCTATCCCAAGCATAAGGATCTAATTTATTGGTTGCTGGGAACGTCCTTTCTAACTCACGAACAAACTCCCGCTCAATAATCATGGCTTGTGCGCTCAACTTCACTTCATCAAGCTCTTTTGCATTTGGTTTTGACTCAGCCAGGTCAGTTCTCTGCATATCAGACCACATCAAAATTGAGTTGTTCATATACAAAAGGAGGATGTGTGTACTTTTCAAGCATGATTTAATTTCAAAGTTGAAATCAAAAAATCATACGAACATCTACAATCCAGTAAAAATTACCTTAATTGCTCTACAAAGTCATGGAAACTCTTCTCACATGAATCAACCATACCATCTAGGCACTGCATAACTTAAAAGGTGCCTATAATGGACGATCGGTCACTTCACATTCAGAATAAAGTGTATGAAGAAATAGGTGTATATACCACGTAAACGTAAGCACAGCCTTTCCCACCATCCCCAAGTCGCTTGAGCCTCTTCTCTGACAATAGCCTGCACGTTCGAAGCCATCAGATAAGAATCTGTTAAGAATACTTTGATGATTTAACACTCATTATAGAACTGCAAAATCATGAAAGAAATTACACTCGCAATAGAAATTACAAAGTGATATCGTAACATGAACATATTTGAATGAAAGTGGATACTCACAATCTGATGGCTTTGCTGATATCAGGATTATTCCCCAAGGCACCTCGGATAAGCTTCTCGGGTACAGATTTATCTCCAACAAATTGCAAGATACTATCTGCAAAGCGGTTAACACGCGACAGCTGCGAGGTTTTCTTTCCGACCTTTTTCCGTTCTTTCAATCCATTTGGTACAATTAGTTGTCCAGTTGTTTCCTTTCCTAAAGAAAAGAGGGAAGAGGGAACAGTTAATACGCCTTGCTCTGATTCAGTCTTGACAGCTGCTGGTAGCACCTTCAAAGGTGCTACATCACTTGCAATTATTTTTTTATAAGCTTGATTTTCTACATGTATAGCTTCCTCATTTCGATTTGGCAAGGCAACCTTTTGATTAAAATCCCATTGAATAACTGGTAAAGGTGATCCCTGTCGATGCTTCAAGTTACGCCTCAATTTTGGCTTCAATTTCTCTTTTAATTTATCCTTTAACCTTTCCCTCAAGGCTTCGATGCTGCAAAGCAGGAAAGGACTTGTATGAATAATTAGAACAACCAGAATTTCAGTAACATCAGTAGCTGTTTTCTCAGAAACAATCCATGGACAAAAATAGCAATTAGTAGCAATTAGGGACTATGTACACAAAGAGATGTACCATTAGATGTCTAAGATAGTTTGATGACGAGTGATTGTGAACAAAATAAATGTGAATACGTGAACGTGTTCGTCCATTGCAAAATCCAAACAAAATCTGAGACGCTAAACAAAAGCAATAAAGACTCTAAGGAGATTAGAATCTTTTTGAGATACACTCATAATAAGGGAGGCGTGAATCTGTCGTAAGTCATCATAACAACTATTGCCTGGCTTTAGTACAACCGACTTCAAATGTGAAAGTAGCATGCCCTGATCGTGATGAATAGATAAATTACAATATGCAAGTCTCCACTTATACAAAAACTCAAAGAACTAACTATATCAGCAGGATCAAGGATAAATAAAAAATTCACATTACGATGTGAAAGTCACAAAGTCCATAAGCAGCGTGCACATCAAAACATAATCATATCGAGATAAAGGAAAATATAGATTTGCACTTGAATCGATTCTGAGTTTACCTGAGCTTCTGATTCGTATGAGGGACGATCGACACATCTTCTAAATGATTGTCAGTCTGCGTCACTTGAGGGATAAGTGCCATACTTCCTACATGTTTTTCGCTAGCCAGCTCGGAGTCCTTAGAAGTATCAGTGTCAGAGACAGTAGACGAATCAAGCGGGTTGGAAGAGAAACTTCCGTCCATAACTTTGTCCTCTTCGAGCGGTTCATGCTTGCTAACAGACCAATTTCGATTGCCGTTACCAAGACCACCAGCCGGTCCTTGGGAATGCTCAGTCATCCCTATGGCTTGTGATTTAAAACAAATCTTAGTTTGTAAAAAAGTACAGGCCTTCGATACTCCTTCGAGTGAAATCGATTCCAGGCTCTGTAGATATATTTTTACAAAAATAACATCTGTGCTCTACTTCCGATGCGTTGAGGTTTAGGTGAAAAGTTTCCTTGGAAGTCAACTGAAATGCAGGGAAAAATAGTTACGACCATTTGCATCGGGAGCAATCAATAGCATTACTTACCATCGCTCATCACCGTGCGTAAAAGCATCATTCTATATCTTCCCACACGAATTCAATTAAAATTCAAAATACATAAGCCCGCAGAATAACCTACACAAATCGTAGTAATAGAACTCAGCGGATTTCTAATTCAGCTCCTTTGACCCCCGCTTAGACCTAGAATGTTGCCAAGAGGTTAATCATTCTAGGAGCCAACCCTGAAACAACAGTAGGGAACGTACCATGCGAGAGATTTCTTTATTTTGTTTCCCACCATCGACAGGATTTGTAGACAAGGCCTGTTTTGTTCCAAAAATCTTCGTCAAACTGCAGGAGCAAGAATTGCGTCCCAACTCTTCTAGGGCTCAGGATCTTTGGCGTATGATTGAAGATCAAGAACCGAATAGTACTTCTGTTTCCTGCCAGAGCAAGGTGGTCAATGTTAACGATTCTTAACCAATAATGTTCACCAACTAGATTCCAAACAGAATGTTAAACTAAATACCTTTTAAATTTCTACCCCGGGAAGATCAAGCAATTCGCACTGTGCACCCTCTAACTGCACCAGACCACATAATGCCACAGCATCACCGCGACAAGTAAACCACACGACCGTCCTCTTCTCAAAATTCAGCAACCTCTAATTCTGCACAACATACTGGATGATTTAAAAAAAAAAAAGTACTGCAGATATTCGCAAGTTTCCATAGCAATGAAGCCGCAAGAAATAGCAAGCAAACACATGCTGCCACAAATCGCTGACAATAGACTCCAAACAATCGTTCTAAGCCGAAATAAACATAACCAGAAGGAAGATACAAATAGAAAAAATATATATATATATATATATAGAAATGAGAGAGGAAGGTGCGGCGATTACTAGCATAGCTGTGTCTTTAAACCAAACGGCAGCTAGAAACACAAGGTGGCCCGAAATTGCGTGGACAGAGGTGCGAGGGCGATTGGAGAGTCGAGTCAAGCGAGAAGCACGACACGGCAAGCGAAGATAGTACGCAAGGAAGGAAGGAAAGAAGGACGGGCACAAAGCAGAGCAGCCCTGCACATGACAAACGGGCAACTGAGAAACAGTGAAACATTAGAAAATCAAACATTAAAATTAAAAACAAAAAAGAGTAAAAACAAAAAAAGTGAGAAAAGGAAAAGTAAGTGGGGAGGGGGATGGATAGATAGAGGCAGGCAGGCAGGCATATGGAAAGGCGGGACATAAAAGCAAAAGCATCGCAATATCAGGGAGGTGACGAGCAGACAAGCAGGGCGGGGAAGGGTGCGAAGTCAGTCAGTCAGGGGACTTCGGCCCTCCCCTTCCCTCCCTTGCCTCCCTCAACTGGGCTGCCTGACACGGGACTCGAGACTCTCGCTCATCGCAAGCGCTTCGTCACACGTCCACACTCCACTTGCCCAGCCAGCCATCCATCCATCCGCATCCATACATCATCCACATCCATCCAGGGCTCTCTCTCCCCCTCTCGCTTCTGCCCCACCCTACATCCCTCCTCCTCCTCGTAGTCGTTGTCCCGTTCCCCTTACCGCTCCCCACTTGTTCCCTACTCCTTCACTTCCCGTCTCCTTCCCTCCGTCCCCACGGATGGATATGTCAGCAACGAAGTTATCTGATTCCGGAACCAGGGGGAGTAACTATCGGGGCTAAAGGGGTAAATAATGGGCTCATAGTAATAACCACATGATTACCATGGACATTGCATGCATTATTAGTAGGGAACCCCGATTCAACCCCAACCCCAACCCCATTCGTTCATTCATTCATCGCCTCCTCCTCCTCCTGCCTGGCCTCGTAACCACCTCGTTCCCTATGATGGGTCGGTTAGTCAGTCTATTAGTCAGTCTAGTCAGTCTATTAGTCAGTCTAGTCAGTCACCAAATCAGTCAGTGTAGGTAGGTAGGTAGGTAGGTTCTCCTCCTCCTCCTCCTCACATTCCCCGTTCCCAAATCTGCCATATTATTGGTTTTGTTCCCCAAAAGCCCACCCTGCAAAGTCTAGCAGCGTGTCTTTTATTATAAAAGAGAGTTTGATGTGGGATAATGTCTGATGATGATGATCCTTAATATTATCATCCTCACTTCTCATCGTCACTGAATTGGTGGAGTTTTGTATGGAATTGTACTACTCTTACTCTTTAATTTGTTTATTCATTACCATACTTTCTTTATCATTTTCTTATCTTTACTAGTGTGATATTTTTTACTTTTTTAAGAATAATTTGTTTCATGATTTCTCATATGAGCTGAACATTTGTGTTACCATGGATTGCAATAGCTTTAATTTTATTTTAAGATTCATAGTTTTGTATTAGTTCTAAAAATCATTTAAAAGTTGACAATCCCACTTACATCAAATCAATTTACATTTATTATGTTATTACATGAAAATAATATATTTGCAACCATAGAAAATAAATCCACAAACCAATTATTTTTTAGCATCATTGTTTAATCATATAATGTCATACTATTAAGTTATACTTATTCACATCACAATAGAATATTTAGTATAATTTGCATTACTTTATGCCAATTAAATAAAAAATAATTAAATTAGTCTTTATTGATGTATATATATATATATATATATATTATTTATAACACATATGTATAATATTTGACATTTTTTCAATGACAATTACTTCTAGACTTATTAGTATATAAGTTATTAGGTTTTTTTTAAAAAAATTGATAGAATGTCAAGGACATAAATCTTAAAGAATTGAAAGATCAAGATACTCTTGTGTCACTTGAAAAAATTAGATAATCACTCAAAGATGATATAATATTAAACTATAATGGCTATTACCAAAGACAAGAAGACTAAAAAGCCTTAAAATAAGACTAAGGACCAAAAACATATTGATAAGAGTGAAGAAGGCTTCACTCTTGCCTTCATATATACTCTTAATTAGGAGCTACGTGGTGATGTCTTATAGGACCTCTAAAAAATATTGACTTTATAAGACACATATTTTAACTTATAAGGCAAGTTTTCTATATGTGTGCCACATGATTAATTTATTTTACAAGCTATCAACATGTGGTTAACTTGTTGATCAAGTTTCTAACCTACCAATCAACTACAAACACATGTAAAATTAAAACAATATCTATGAAGCTTTTAGGAATCTTTTCTAGAAAACATTATAAAATAAATTTATTTTTATTCACTTTTATTTGATTATATAGGTAAATATAAGAATAAACACATATGTTTGTGATATTATTCTCCCTTTTTAGGGATGAAATCTATAAAGAATAGTCATCATATGTTGAGGAAATCTAAGATGCGACAAATTAATTTTCCAACATACTTTGATCTTTGTTCTCTTCAAAGATGGTCGATAGGTCCTCTTAACTATCAATAGTGTTCCATATTAGAATAAATAGACTACCTTGTTATTTGATTATTGTTAAGGCCTTTGTAATTTTTTTAAATAAAATATTTGGAACACCATCAAAGATTATTTCTACCTCTAATAAAATTATCAAACATTGAGAGTCTCTTCTAAGGTTGTGATATTAAACATGTTGTATCTCCTATCTACTTGAGGAAGGATATGTCGTTCTTGAGGCTCTTCATCTCAATTACATTGTCTTCAAGGTTATAACAATTACAATATCTTGCCTGCTAAGTTTGCAAGTCATAGCTTTTAAGTTGAATCTGTTAGTTGTTAGTTCTCTATTTTACTCAGTATTAGAAATATAGAGAAGTTACAAACAAGAGTAAAAGATAAAATATTATTTTCTTTGGATCTTGTTTCTTTTATAATAAAGATTTATTATTTTTCATCTTAGATTTAATGGATTTTTTCGATGAAAATCTTCAATCCTCTTTGTTGCATCTACAAGATTTTTTGTTGGCTCCCATGTATATTCACTAATATCATATCAATGCTAATGAACAAGATATTCTAATCTATTTTGGCATTGTCTTGAATCTAAGACTTTTTCTACCTCAAACTCTTGATTAATATCCACTTCTATAAGAAGAGGTGGCATTTGTCTTCTTTTTAAGATATTTATTGTGTTATATGGCTTAAGAAGAGATACATGGAATATGGGATGGATCTTCATTGACTCTAATAGATATAATTGATAAATAACGTGATTAATTTATTTACAAATAAAAAAAGATCCAAGCCTACAATAGTCCAACTTATTACAAAGATGAGTAATCTTGATATTGTGACGAAATAGCCATATCTTATCATCCACTTTGAATTAAGGTTGTTTATTCCAATAGATATTTGCATTGATCTTTTGTTGTTTTTGAGCTTCTTTTAACTATGCCTTCATTGTTGTATGTAGTTTTTATAAAAAAATTGCCAAAACTTCTATTGTAAGGTTATCAACTTTTAAAAATCAAAAGTATCAAGTTATAGATAATAATCATAATTGATAAAAAATGTGTTTGTTAAATAGGAGAATATATCAAATTATTAGATATTATCATGGTGTAATATGACTATATGGTATAAATATAATCAAAAATAAATTTCTAAATAATATCTAATTATCTTGGTTCAATATTAATTCAAGATATTTAAATATGGCTTTTATAAAAGCCTTTTAGTTTATTTTTTTATCTTAATAGTTAGTATGTTAAAGATTGGTTAGTAATTTTATCTTCTAGACAATAGAGACTCTTTTATTACCTTAAAAAGACCATAAATTGATGAAATCAGATTAAAAAAAATAGCATGGTTGATACTAAGATTATTTGAAGGTAGGATTAGGCTAAAAAATCCCTAAGATAGGTTGGATTGATACCTGGGGATTGATCGTTTGTGAGACAGGGTCAAAATTAGATCTCAAGCCACTAAAAAAATGACTTAGAAAAAAATAGGGTTTTATTTGAAGATTAAAGATTAGGATTCAAGAGCTAGCTTAAAGCTTGTTCTAAAGACATAAGGCTTCTTTTTGTAGATTTTTTTTGGACTTAGCAATTGTTGTTCAAAGTCAGAGATTGTATTGACAACTTGGGACTTATCCAATATAATTAGAACTACCACTCTTAGCTAGTTCGTAAAATTGGTATCATATCTATAGTTCAAAATTTGATAAAGCTTGGTTAATTAGATGAGCTAAGTTTGTATAGAAATTTGTAAAAATCTAATGGTGCAATTGAGAGATATCTGGATTTTGATACAAGAAGATATCAAAAGTTGGTAGTTTAGAATTGAGTAGAGTTTCTATGATATCTAAAGTTCTATTAGTTGGATTAAGGTGAAATTTGATATAATTTTAGAAGACTTGAAGATGAAGCTATATACTAATTTTGAGTTGAATTTAATAATTAAAGAAGGAGAAATCACTATTGGAATATTTGTATCAACTTTCAAGTTGGTTGCCAGGTAACATCAATAAGGTTTTTGGGCATTTTTTCATGATTTGTAAGTTGAATTGGAATGAATTCTTTTTAAATTCATAGAAGACTTATAGTGGCATTTATATAAAAAAATTTGATCTAAGTAGATGATTAAATTAGAAGCTACAACTTGCTAAAGCTTGTTGATTAGGATTAAGATTTGCAATGAAAATTCAAAATTGCCTAATAATGAAAGTAACAAGGCAATTAGAGTTTATGTATGGTTGAGATTACTAAAAAGATTTTTTTTGAGTACTTTGTATAGAATTCTAGCATTTTTGAATTAAAATTCAAATTGCATTCCTCTTATAAGGATGAAACATATTAAGATTCTTGGATACTTATAAAATACAATTCTACCTTCTACAGCCATATGCCAATTATATTCTTAAGTATGACAATACATAATATGACAATGTAAAATTTATCAATATCAAAGAATTGTTTAATTATCTTAATGATATTTGATGATACACCTCAAATATTGCTTGAAAACTTGATTCATCTATTTTTTTGCCAATCAATTTGAAGATAGAAAGCCAAAGAAAGTTTAATATCTATCTTTAGAATCTTGATACAAATTGAGTCTATCTATCCAATATAATATCTTTGAGCAATTTATGATAGCAAAAGATATTGTCAAAAAAAAATTTAGTTGTTTCTTCACTTATAATAGATTTTGTATATGATACAAAATATGCCATCTTAATAAAATGAACTACTATTACAAATATAAAATCATATAAATTTGAAATTGAAAGATTTGTGATAAATTCTATAGAAATAAAAGACCATGGTTGTTTTAGAATAGGTAATGGTTAGAAAAGTCTATAAAATTGATGACATAGAGTTTTTAACTTTAAAAAATA